AGAAAACAAGCTTCCTCCATCCTCAATATGAAGACATCCCTTCAAACATTTAAATAGGGCTATCATATCCCCTCTTAACCATCTCTTCTCCAGATTAAACATCCCCAGCTCCTTAAGATGCTCTTCATAGGGTATCACTTTTTTTGTGGATTTTGGATGCTATTATACTTCACTATCTTGCCAACACGGCTACTCCGTATGGTAATGAGGTCAGAATGAAGCTACTTTTTTGTATAATCCAAGGTAGGCACATTGTAATCTTGGGCTTCCATGTGGTCCCCAAGACCTGGCCTTTGGGCCCTCCAGCCTGCCCTCTTTTGGTAAAAATAAAAATAAAAATTGTGTGTCTTGAAATTCTCATATTAAATAGGTTGGAGGGCCACTATTCAATATTTAAATTACATCCAAGTTTTTCAAAACCAATAGTTGACTTCTGGACACTTCCAGCTTGTTTCCTTTGTTGTTTTTTGGCACCTGTGGAAAGGACATTGCGCCCTGGCCTGACACAGTTGCCCACTCCTTGGGCAGTGAGTTCCATTTTCTCACTACTTTAAAGATTACCCTGAAGTTTAGAGGCATTTTATGAGAATTCTTTCCATGTTTTGTGCCATTTTTTTATCAGTTCCTTAGTTCTCCCTTTTGCTCACAAAGACAAAGAAAAGTAGTGAACAATGCAACCAGTTACTTTTGTAAATATAGTAACAAGTAACTACACAAGTTCATTCTTTAAATGCCATTACAAACAATGGGAAAGAGTTCCTTTTAAAAAATGAACTTCCCAAGCTCTGGCTAATTCTTATCCTGACTTGTGGACTCAGGGTTGGTTGTACTCCTAAGGATGAATGGTCTAAAAAGCTTTAAATACTTGATCTTTCCAAAACAATACTGAAAATGAAATATTTACTATTTTAAAAAACCCACACTGATACATCTCCCCATTCTCATTAATTGTTGGGTTGCTGCCACACTGCAAAATTAATGCAGTTTGACACCACTTTAACTGCCATGGTTCCAGCCTATGGGATTCTGGGATTTGTAGTTTGTTGTGGCACTAGAGCTCTGACTGAGAAGGCTAAATATCTCACAAAATTACAAATCCCAGAATAATAAATAATAATAATAAAATTTATTTATACCCCGCCCAATGGAAACCCAATCAGGGCGGCTTACAAGATAAAGCAAACCCCAATAAAATACATAGTACAAAACCCCCCCTTAATTCCATAGCATTGAGCCATGGCGGTTAAAGCAGTGTCAAACTGCATTAATTCTGCAGTGTAGATGCAGCCTATGTTAAAACCCTAGTTCTGATGCTTAAAGTATTAGGATCACAAAAAGACTGTGCTGGTTTTCTATGGGGAGGACCCCGGTGTGCCCTTTGCCCTCTAGACCATGGGCCTCAGCCTATAGGACCTGAGCAGAGGCGTTGAGGACAGGGGCTTCCTTGTGCCTGCCAACATACACAATGTGCGAGGAAGTACCCTGTGTTTCTATCACACCCGAAGCATGATTGCCAGCATGTGACAGAATTGCTTTCTGTTGGAAGAACTTTGCATTCTCCCCCCCCCCCGCCGCCCCTTAGATAGACAGGGATTTCTGCTTGCAAACTCCTTCCTCCCTCTCTCTCATTCAAAATAACCCTGTGACTTAGGTCACTTCCCCTTTGGGACTAACAGTCCTTTCTCTCAAGATTTCAACTGAGCAGTTCCCATCTTCCTGTTCTCTCCACTTGGTTTGAAAGATGGTGAGATAAATACAGGTGCCCCTCCCAATTTGCGGGGGATCCGTTCCGGAGCCCCCTGCAAATCTGAAGAAATGCAAATATTCAAGTTGCCATTGATTACAATATCCACTCACGTGCCTCAAGCGTGCGCACCATTTTATCCTTCCCTAAGGACTAAGACCGTGGACCCCAAGTCCGTGAAAGGGGAGAGACGAGTGTATTTCTCTTTACCTAAACCATCATTAGTTAGATTAGGATATAGCTTTTTATGTAAATATAGATTAAAGCCACTGTTTTGAACTACAATCTATGTGTTTGTTGTTTTTGAGTCAGTCTAAGTTCTTAGGGAAGCATAGTTAGGCAAAGTCACTCTTCTGCTACTCTGCTAATTTAAAACCAGAATCTAACAGGCTGGACTTTCATGTTTTGATATTTAAATATTTTTATTTCCTTAAAAAAGGTGAAGTCTTAGGAAACTTAAATTCCTTAAAAAAGGTGAAGTCTTAGGAAACTTCCTTACACAAGTTTATTACCTCTCTGCTAACAATTCTGCACCTCTACTTGATGGTTCTTCCACAGCCCATACACTCCCCAGACTGAAAGCAGAAGGAAGCCCTTGGAGGATGCTTGGAAAGAAAGTCTTTACAAAAAGAATCCTTCTCTACCCAGTGGAGAGAGCTAAGGAAGAAAGGAAGGGAGGGAGGATGAAAGTTAGTGGTAGCAGCCAACAAGGAATAAAGAAAGCTCAGTTACAGCTGGAAATCCAGTTTCATGTAGCTAGTAACTAAATTAGCATTTTATTATCTGCTTTATTGTGAACCAAACTGAATATATTCTTTATGAAAAGGTGGCAAACTCCTGTATTTCTCATGCTATTGGATGTGGGGGACTGATAATTATTGTTTTCCAATGATCCAGCATGGTATAGTGGTTTGAGCACTGGACTACTGTTAAGGAAAATGCA